GCGCAGGCCCACTGCGGCCTTCATGCTCCCCCTCTAGGCTGCACTGCTGGCCCCTGAGGATCTTTGAAATATGCCCCTCGGGGCTGCTGGTCATGGACGGTCTGTTATCCCCCCTACAAGAACTGGCTTGGCCATCCTGGTTTGTCCACCTAAAAAGGCTGCCGGTTCCTTCAAGACTTGGTCAGTCCAGGAAGACACCCTGAGTTTCAAGCCTGTCCGTGATGGACATGCATAGGCCTGTCCAAGGGAAAACTGAGAAAGGATGGAACTAAGCATGTTCCAGACAGATACACGCAAGCCAGTCTGGTCTCCGTGGGACACACTGATGGCATGTGGGGATCACGCCTGCCTGGTGATGGGGGAGACCACTGGCTATTCACATCATTGCCTGCAGGCTGCTGCCCACCCGCAGCTGGCATATGTGCACAAAATGGGAGCAGTAGCCCCACACATTGCAGGGGCAGCCCAGGTGCTGGGGGATTGGGAAAACCTGTCGCTGACTGAGTGCTATGTGCTCTCTGAGCCCTTAGGGGCAGTTTCATGCAGCCCTGCTTACATGCCTCTCATGATAGGGAGCTCACTCTCTGCTGACCCATGACCATTGGAGTACACAGCTAAGCAGCTAGTGAACAGGTGACAGTTTGCACATCCATGAGATTGATCTAATGTTCAGCGCACAGATGGTGTTCAACAAATGCTCACGGAGGCAGGAAGGAAGGGAGAGAGAGCCTGTCCTCTACCTCTGCTCAAATCAGTCCCCAGAACAACTCACCGGTAGGAAGGTCAGGGTCTAGCCTTCCCCCCAGGGAGCCTAGTCAAGAGGTATTTTTGGGGTGTCTGTCTCTGAGTGGACTCAGGCAGCCGGAGGCCAGTCTGTTGGTCACATCTAGTCTCGACAACTATGTGGGACCCAACCCAGGAGCGAGTGAGACAGCAGAGAGCCTAGGTCCCATAAAAGGGCAGGGGCAAATGGTGGCGGGACTGTACCAGGAGACCAGAGCAGGACACAGCAGGGGTGTCCTGGGGTGATAGGGGCAGGGCAGGCCTCCCAGGGACCTGAAGGCAATGGAGGTTCCTGCTACTGGGAGGGCAAATGACTGGGCCCTCGAGGCTCCAGCCTCTTGAGGAAGTCTCCCCATCCAGTGGGGGCCAAGAAATGTTGTAAGACAATTTTTTTCTTCTTCTTTTATAATAAGATGATGTAACATTTCCTTTACTCCCAAATTGGAAAATGTATTGCTTTTTAAATCACAGCTTCATTGGAATATAAGTTACATCCCATAAAATTCATTTAGTGTACAGTTCAGTGGGTTTTTTTGGTATATTCACAGAATTGTGTGATCATCACCACTGTCTAATTCCAGAACATTTTCATCACCCTAAAAAGAAACCCATGCCCATTAGCAGTCACTCCACATGCCCTCTCTCTCAGCCCCAGGCTAGCAGTAATCTACTTTCTGTCTCTACAGATTTGTTGATTCTCGACATTGCATGTAAATGAGATCATACAACGTGTGGTCTTTTGTGACTGGCTTCTTTCACTCAGTCTAACATTTTATGTCATCCACGTTGTGGAATACATCAGGACCTCACTCCTTTTGTGGCTGAATAATATTCCGTTGTAGAGATATACATTTTGTTTTTTAAGAGCAAGTCCTCATTATATAAATTTTATAAGACAGAAAAAGTAGAAACAAAAACTTTTTTAAGTCATTCACGTGTCACTACCCAAGTGTGACTCCCATGATGCCCCTTGCCCTGTGACAGGCACATGTCTTTTCACTTGCAGCTGTCATTCAGGAGGCTCTCAGCAGGCTTGCATCAAATAACCAAATAATGATTCAAATCTTTTTTTCCTATTCAGAGAGTTACTATCTAATTTTACTCAGGCTCATGCTAGAAGCTAGCTTATTCAGTCCAGAGAACTCAGTTTTAGCTCTCAGATGTCCTGGGATGTGCAGGTATTTGAAATCCTCTGCCCAGGACCCTGCTGAAGCAGGCCTGCTGCCAGGTGTGGGGGATGCTGTCAGCCTCCAGTCTCCCCCTAGGGACAACTCTTAAACTGCACAGCTCAGCCCCTGGCCCCAGGAATTTTTTTTTTAATGGACACAACTTTTAGAAATGGTTGGAATACTACTTAGCCATAAAAAATGATAAAATAATGTCACTTGCAGCAACATGGATGGCACTGGAGAATGTTATTCTAAGTGAAGTAAGCCAGAAAGAGAAAGAAAAATACTATATGATATCACTCATATGTGGAATATTAAAAAAAGAGATAAATGATCTTATATATAAAACAGAAACAGACTCACAGACACAGAAAACAAACTTATGGTTACCAGGCAGGAAGAGGGTGGGAAGGGATAAACTGGGAGTTCAAGATTTGCAGATACTGACTGGAATACATAAAATAGATAAACAAGTTCATACTGTACAGCACAGGGAACTATATTCAATACCTTGTAGTAGCCTACAGCAAAAAAGAATATGAAAATGAGCGTATGTATATTCATGTACGACTGAAGCATTGTGCTGTACACCAGAAATTGACACAACATTGTAAACTGACTACACTTCAATTAAAAAAAAAAGAAATAGATGGGGTGTGACCTCCTGCAGTTGCTTGCAAGAGTTGATGCCAGTGTCCACCACCTGAGACCCGCTGAGTGAGCCTTCTTTTAGTGTCTCAGAGCAGGATTCAACTTGGTCTGCAAACAGAAGGGCCAAGTGGCTGTAAAGATCTGCATGGGTCACGAAATATGGAGATGGGCAGAAGAAAACACAGGCCATTTGCCACGTGTCCATCTTCTCCTAAAGCCCCAGGAATTTGATCCAGGGATCTTGAGTAACTGATAGCTGTCCAAAACGGGGGTGGGTCCCTGAGCCCACTGGGTGGTAGGGCCCCAAGTAAGTCATGCTGCTGAAATAATGATAATGATGATAATCCCCGGTGCTGAGCTAAGTCTTGCAAAAATTCTCACCTTGCCCTACACTGGCCTAGAGGGCCTCCTTATCAGATGGGAAGCAGCAGAGAGGCGAAGAGACTTACCTGAGTTTGTCGGCTGCAGGCAGTGGGCCTGGAGATGAACCAGGCCAGCTTACCTGCCTACACTCCACTGTGAGCTGCCTCTCGGCCCGTGACTGCTGCCATCCAGCCTTTTCAGGCCTTCGTGGCCAGAGCCTGCCCATCGACTTTCGC